TTTTGCTTACTACATGAATATTGGGGAACCTCAATTAATCTACAGCAGCTCTGTCCAAAGGACATATACTGTGATATCTATTGCATATGCACCTGTGCAATTTTTATTAGTAGCCCCTTTAATATAAGTAACAAGAAATATGAAATTAATTTCAATAATACATTTAATCTAGTCTAATGGGTTCAAAATACTATCATCTCAACATGTAACCAATATAAAATAAGTATTGAGATATTTTACATTTTTTCATACTGCTTTTGAGATCCAGTGTGTATTTTATACTTACAGCACACATCAATTCAAATTATTCATGCTCAAGGGCACATCCCATGTGTGAGTATGGGCTGCCATATTAGACAGAGTAGCTACAGCTTTTTTCTCCCATTTGACCCATCCAAGAATTAGATGCTCTGCTAAGAGATCAAATTTGAAGTCACCACAACAACTAACAATCTGTTCTGAGGAAGGGCATGGAACACATTTCAATTCCACAGATGAATTTGAATTGTGGGGTCAGAGCACATTTTGCCATGTTTTCTAAGTCTCCAACAAATTAGGAGGCCCCCAGGTCTTCATTTGGCAGAAGGCTCACATTCTAAGGCATCCAGCGAAATACATTGAGGATTTTTTTTTCTGCCAAATAAAAATGATTTTTCTTAGTATCAAGGGAATGCTTGGCAGTGTAGCATTTGCAAAACATCTCTTTCATCTACCCCAGGAAGGAGCTGACTATAGCTTCCAGCCTGGGATCCTCTGAGGGGTCTCCTTAAGATGCTACAGATGCAGGTGAGGAAGATTTTCTTGGCTTTGTGACAATGTGCCAAGGCTTGGAGCTTCCCCACCAGGCCCCTCAAAGGAAAAGGTTTCTCTTTCAAGTTTTGGTGGTTTACTCCAGACATTCTGTTTGCTGTTCTGTGTGGGGTTCACTTGTTATTACAACTTCTTTTACCAAATTTCCAAGATTGTTGTCTTCAAGATCACCTAGACTGGAGATCTGCTATCACTACCACTTGGTTTAGAAACTCTCCTTCTCCATATCAAAGCATCCCAGTGCCAGGAACCCTCAAACTCTGACCTGTTTCTCCAATCCATCCTTTCTTGTCCCATGGCTATTGCCCTGGTTTACGTTTCCTTTTTGCCCACCCAGACTGCTGAACCAGCCTACTAATTGATCATGCACGCTGCTGCCAGGATGAACTTTCTAAAATCTAGATCCCATTGGGTTACTTTCCTGGTTTCAAGACTTTTCTTAACTCCTTGCTGTGGTCTACACAGTGGATTTCAACTCTCATAAAAAAGGATTGAAATAGGAGAACCCCAAATTTTTTCAGTGAAGTGTTATAAGGAGCCCCAAGATATAAAACAGATAAAGTCTAAGCTGCCCTGGGTAAAGCAAGGACAGAGGCCTCAGAGCCTGCCCTAAAGTCCTCCAGCCCTGCCCCTCTGGGCCCAATGCAGCTCTGGGGGAATCCTGGAGCGCTTCTGGACACAGCTGGGATGCTGCAGCCCAGTGGGAGGACATCTGTGTTCCTGGCTTGGCATAGCAGGCCCTACAGAATCTGCCCCAGCCCACCTTTCTGGCTTTATCACCTGCCACTTCACTCACGCACACTCCCCATGCCCCTGCTACACAAATCACACATGACCCCAATGTGCCAGGCACTTGAGGCTCCACACTGCAGCCCAAGCAGCTTCCTCGGCCTGGTGTCTTCCTGCTCATCCCTGTCTCGACAATCCTAATTGTCCTTCCAGGTTTCACTCCAGTATCATCCGTATGGAGCCCTCTCTTATAAACAATTTGGACAGAGCACACCCCCACTCTCCCCTGGGAATTCTGTTAAGGTGAACTATTTGACCACTTACAACATCTGCTACCTAGAACTGTTTCTCTTAGCAGTATCATCTTTTTAATCCTGGCCCAGATTATCAATAAATTTGTGTGACATTACGCAGTGAAGACTCTGTCCTTTATTCCAGTGTCAGCAGAGGTGAGTGAGCCATACACAATTCCCTGAGGAATCCTGAGAACCTTCAGAGGAAGCAAGAAGTCAAAGAGCCCCAAACTGGAAATCTGAGCCCTTGGGTTCTCATTCTGGCTCCATCCCAAACTAAGTCTTTAAATTCAGCTCTACACTGCCATGGTTTTAGTGCTCTTGGCATAATGATAATGATTATTCTAATGGCTAATATTTATAAGGCAGCTACCACATGCAGACAGACACTGCTGTAAGCGTTTTTCATGAATTAACTCATTTTTGCTTTACAGAACAAAGGCTGAAGCATTTACTAGATTGGACCCTTTCTCCAGCTGCATTTGGGACTGAAAGAGACTTTACAGGGATGGGGAAACCAAGACATAGGTGAAATGACTGCTCAGGTGACTCAGCTGGTAGCAGAACTGGCTGGTGGCAGGTCTCCTGGTTTTCAGGTGGGTATACTTTCACCCACATAACACTGTTCTGTGGGAGTAGCCTGGGTATTGACCAGAGCCACACCTGTCCCTGCAAAATGTTTTACAAAGCTTCAACAGAGAGATATGACACTCAGCTATCAGCATAACTCAATACATGTAAAAATATTTCCTAACTTCAAAAGTTAAATGATTCCATTCAAATTTGGTTTACTTTTGAAATTACCATCTAGTAAGGGCTATATTCACATAAAATAATTTATTTAACGGGATACAAATGGTGCCAATAAAATCTAGGGTAGAAAACTTCTTATCCCCAGCTATAGACATGCTGGTGAGATCCTAATCAGGCAGAGTGGCTCCTTCCACTGTAGTTAAGGCTGCTACCACATGGCTTCAAGGACATGGTGTCCATGACCTTCTGCTGTATATCAGATCATAATTTTCCTAAAAGCATGGCTCAACTTATAGTGCATTCCCCAAGAGGCAGGTAGCACGCTATCATGGAAAGAGAAGTAAATCTGAAGTCAAAACTCCTGCCATTGACCAAGTGACTCTGGGGAAATCAGTTAATATGGCCAAGTCTTAGATTTGTCCAGTGGAAAATATTGTCAAGGCTATTGGTCCTTCCTAGCTGGGGTTGCTGTGATGCTTCAAGGAGATGTGAATGAAGAGGATTGGTGTGGGTAAATACTCATTTTTCTTCTTTAAGGAATGGTCATACTTGGAGAATGCTATCCAGAACTGTTTCCTCATTGCAACCCTGCCTTAGTCTCTTCCGGATGCTATTAACAAAATACCGCAGATTTGGTGGCATATAAATGAATGAAATTTATTTCTCACCATTTTGAAGGCTAAGAAGCCCAAGATCAAGACATCAGATTTGGTGTCTGGTGAGGATCCTCTCCCTGGTTCAGAGAAGGCCATCTTTTCACTGTGTCCTCACATGACAGAAGGGATGAGGGAGTTCTCTGGGACTCCTGTTATAAGGGCACTAATCCCACTGATGAGGGCTCCACCTGTATGACCTAATCACCTCCCAAAGGTCCCACCTCCTAATACCATCACCTTAAGGGTTAGAATTTTAACTAAGAATTTGGGGGAAACACAAACCTTTAGACCATAGCAACCCCAGAGAAGGGAAGTGACTTAGCCAGGATCCACAGTATGATGTGAACATGACAGAGCTTGGAGTCACCCCTTTCTAGCACTCTATCCTTTACTTAAACTATTTTAAGATTACATTAATTGCATTATTTCCTTAAGCTAGAAATCTGCAGAAATATTTGTAAATTCATATATTACTTTAAGTCTTAACACTTTGTTTTTGAGACAAAGTCTCACTCTGTTGCCCAGACTGGGGTGCAGTGACATAATCATGGCTCACTGCAGCCTCAAATTCCTGGACTCAAGCAATCCTTCCACCTCAGCCTCCGGAATAGCTGGGACTACAAATGCACACACACGTTTAGCTAATTTTTAAAATGTTTATATAGAGGCAGAGTCTCTTTATGTTGCCCAGACTGGTCTAAGTCCTGGGCTCAAGGGATCCTCCTGCCTTGCCTTCCCCACATGCTAGTATTACAGGCATGAACCACCACCCAACCCAATTCTTAAAACTTTTAACTGACGCTTAGCATGGCACCAAAATGATATTTATTGAATGTATTCTGGTGCCAACCTCTGGATGCATCATTTCGTCTGACCCTCACAACAGTCCTGCAATGCTGGTAAGATGAGGCCCGGCTTCCCACTCCATCTTGCTAGAACTGGAGGTCGTGGAAACTTAAGGGATTTGCCCAAGAGCCCATGAGTGAAGAGTGGTAGAGGAGATTCAAATTCTTTTTCTCTACCAGATCCAGTGCTTTTCCCATTAGCCAAGGGTGCCTCAACAAGGAACAAGAATCCCACAAAATTCGAGGAAAAGGGGGAAAAATGTGATTTCAACATGGTGTTCACTGATGCTATTTCAGAAATGTGCACGCAGCATTCATATTTTGACAAAAGCAGTAATTACCATATTAGAAAATAGAGTCGTCGTCTTCCTTTTCTAAAAATCTTTAAAAGTTAACATTAAAGCATGCTTTGGGCTTGCTAATTTAAAACGGCAAATGGATGGTGTCGCATATTAATGTGCGTCCACAGCCGCTCTATTTGACCACGTTGCAGAGGTACACACGTGCAGGACGGTGATTCTGCAGCTGAGGGTATCTCCTCCCTGAAACTGCACCTTGGCCCTTCTCCCTACTCTTTTTATTCTGAGGGTGACGCCTTCACCCGGGCTCTCTTAAAATCCTGCTGTTTGTATGCAAATGCGAGTTCAAATTTCTCCCTGAAACACTGGTGGGGGGACACTATGCGCCCTCATCTTTAAATGTCATCCTGATTTCCCACATATTCCCTCCTCCAACCTGCAACCCCTTTCTCCCCTACCCGACCCCCACCACCCCCATCTCCAGCCTCCTGTCCTTCCCATTCCAGGTGCTCCGAGCGCTAGCAAAACTGGGGTGGGCGGCGCCGGGCAAGGGCTGAAGACTGCGGGGACCCAGCTGCCAGGAGCATTGTGAAGTGGCCGGAGCGTCACAGGCGACCCCGACTTCGGGACCGGGGGGCGGGGCGGGTGTCTGCAGCGTCCTCTGGAGGTCTCAGACCCCTTGCGCAGACTCTGCGCGTGCCCAGAGGGAGGGATGGCAGGCTTCAGCCACTTCTCTCAGCCGCCCTACCGGGACCTCTGGGAACCCCCGCGGCCCGGCGGAGAGCGAGAGTCCACGCAGCGGCTGGGCGGGCAGAGGTCCGGAGCCGACTCCCCCGCGTGCTCCCGGGCCGAGACTCCGGGTGCGGAGAGCGAAGCTGGGGCGTGCTGGCTGCACCCGCACTGTTCGTTCACGCCGCGGCCTCGCAGGCGCGGGTGCTCAGACTCACCGCGGGGCAGCCGAAGCCTGAGCGATGTGGTCCGCAGGCCTCTGGACCGCTCCAGGAAGCACGGGCTCCGCAGCAGGTGCCTGGAAGATGCCTGGGGAGAGACAGGAACCAAGCCCCGCCCGGCTTGGCAGCCGCAGACCCAGCTGCCACCCCAGCGGCCGCAGCCCTGCCCGCAGCCCTGCCCGCATTACCCACTGGCCCAGGGAGACTCGCCCCCGCCTTACTCCGGAGGAGCTGGCACACCCCTGAGTGGCACATTCAGGGTAGAAAAGGCACAGGGTGGAGACCAGTGGGCAGTGCCGATCGGCAGACATCTAGGTCGCTGGTCCGCTTCCTCAGTTCCCTCGGAGCGGTCTTCTGTGCCCTCCCAAAAGTTCAGGAGGCACTCAGCCTGCGTGTGCGCCCAGAAGAGAGACAGCAGCGACCAGGTTGAGTCATTAGCAAGCCGGGACTCCCAGCCCTCGGCCTCTAGCAAAGAGATGCGGAGCCCCCACACCCAGGTCCTGAAGAGCAAGCTGGAAGAGGCAGTGGTGTCCTCCCAGGACCAGCAGATTGTGGCCCTCGTGTTGACCCGTCTCAAGAAGGCCCAGAGGATGCGGGAGCTGCAGCAACAGGCGGCTGAGGCCTGGGAGGAGTTGAAGCGCTCGGATCAGAAGGTCCAGATGACCTTGGAGCGGGAACGCCGGCTGCTGCTGCAGCAGAGCCAGGAGCAGTGGCAGGAGAAGGAGCAGCGCAAGACCCTCCAAAGCCCTGAGCAGCGCTGCCGGCGGCGGGACAGCCAGAGGAAGAACGTAACCCCGGGGGAAAGCCGGTGGAAGGAACAAACTGAGGACCAGGAGAGCCCACGCCAGGAGAAACTGGAGAAGGCGCGCGCCCAGGCAGAGCACCGAAAGCAGTGCCAGGTGCGGCGCCTGCGGGAGCAGGAGAAGATGCAACGGAACCTCCAGGAGCAACACACCCTGCAGCTACAGAGGAGGCTGGTGGAGGCCTGTCGCAAGAGGCATCTGCATGCCGTGGAGGGACAGAAGAAGGTCCAGGACACCAACCTGAGCTCTCTCATCAATTACCAGGCCCGGAAGGTCCTCATGGACTGCCAGGCCAAGGCTGAGGAGCTCCTTAGGCAGCTGTCCCTGGAACAAAGTTTCCAGCGGTCCCAAGAGATACACCAGGGCCTGATGAAGGAGCGGCACCGCGAGCTGAGGGAGAAGGCCCAGAAGGAGGAAGAGCAGTTGCAGCAAGCCAGGTGGCGTGCAGGGGAGTCAGAGGAGCAGAGGAAGATGCGCAAAAGGATTCTGGTGGAGCTGGCAGATGAGAAGATCCGACAGGCCAGGAATCACGTGCACAAGACCACGAGGGACAAGGTGCAGCACCTCCGGGAGCTCAACCACCTGAGGGAGAAAAACCACCACATCCTGAAACTGAAAGCCGAGAAGGAGGAAAAGTGCCACATTGAGGGCATCAAGGAGGCCATTAAGAAAAAGGAGCAGAGGGTGCGGCACATTACCCAAGGGAAAGACCCAAACTTCCAGGAGTTCCAGAAGCTCCCTCAGGCCTCCAGGAGAGAGGAGAGAGCGCCTCCCAACAGCTCCCTTGATCAGATAGTACTAGAGGCCCAGCTCCATGCCTGTCAGCAGAACAGGGATTACTGAGAACCAAGGACGCCTGGCTTACAGCGCCAGCCAGAAGGAGATGTGGCAATGTGATTCCTTTTGTAATCTGATTATAATTGAACATTGATTTTAAAAAAGCATATAAAATAGCTGCAATTTCCTCTCATGAACTGGTTTATTGATTCACTTGGATAGTTTAGAGGGTCGGGGAGAAAATTTTGGGAATTTCTATGACAATGACTTGGCTTTGTGAATTTCGATTTGAATACAAAATATTCATTTAGCTCTCAAGTAATCTGAGAAACACACAACAGGCACATTTTGGAGACACCAGAGAAAAATCTATAGTTAGGGATACAGTTCTGTGACATGTCTTAAGTCTTTTCCTGTCCCAGAACTTATGAAAGAGTGAAGTATAAAGTACGCATCATAAGAAATCTTCAAGACAAAAAGAAATTTTAAAAAGAGTGAAGTGGGAGGATTCCTGTGAACGAGTAGATTTGGGAACCCTGTATACTATATCCTCTCTTGGGAGTTCATAATGCACTTTAGAATTTTAAAGACATGCAGTAAAGAAACTTAATGTTTAATGCCCCTCACCCCTTTTTTTCCTCAGATAATTTCATGGAATTGATGTTCTGTGAAACATTTTTGAAAACGGCACTCTATAGTTCTTATTTGATTGTGAACTTCTTTGGCCTTCCCTCCCTGTATTGATAGGAAGTATTTATAATTCCATCAGCACTATTTCTTGACTGTTCCACCACAGCCACAACATCTGATATAGTTTGGCTGTGTCCCCACCCAAATCTCATCTTGAGCTATATAGCTCCCATAATTCCCACGTGTTGTAGGAGAGGCCTTGGGAGATAATTGAATCATGGGGGTGGGGGTTTCCCCCATACTGTTCTCATGGTAGTGAATAAGTCTAAAGAGATCTGATTGTTTCAATAGGGGAAACTCTTTTCACTTGATTCTCATTCTCTCTTGTCTTTCACCTTCCACCATGATTGTAAGGCCTCCCTAGCCACATGGAATGAGTCCATTAAATCTCTTTTTCTGTATAAATTACCCACTCTTGGGTATGTGTTTATCAGCAGCATGAAAGCAGACTAATGCATTATCTAAGATCTCATTGGAATCTATTTGGTCTGCTTCTTTTTTTGGTCAGTCCCATCCAGTCTTACAGAATAAAATTCTATTGGAATCCTTCTCTTCTCCTCTATTTCTCCTCTGTCTCTTTTGAAGGAGGTATGTGATGTCATTCTGTCTACCCACATTGTGTCTAATTAACCTAACCAGGCCCTGAGTCAATGACTAAGCATGACTCAGTAATATGACATTTTAAAAATAAGGAGCCAAAAGTTAAATAGAAATTAACCCATCGTATCTCAGAGTCTTTATTGAACTCTCTAAATGTTTTCTTTAAAAAGCCCCTAGTGTCACATTTGTATTAGAGAGAGAGAAATAGGATAAGCTCCATTGGGAGATTTATATCTTATTAGTAATTCTAAAACAACATTAAAGGTAACCTGACAAAGGATTTTGTGCAAAGGTCAGTTTGAGGTCCACTTTCTTGGCTCTTATCATGGAAACCAGGCCCTCTTCCCCATTCCATTTTCTTCCCTTGCCCCAGTCCCTTCTGCCTGGTATCCCCAAAGAGGCCTACGGTAGGACCCTTATTCTTCTCCTCAAAAATGTTCAGGGACAGCCGCCTTGCTCAAAATGGAAGGACTCACATATCTTCCCTCAGTTTCCAACCTTATTCTCTTACCCTTGCCCAAGTTAATCCTCTGTTCAAGCCAAATGCCATGTGCAACCCAAGTATTCAAGAGTAATGCTTAAGACATTTCAGACAGACTTCGTTATGAATCCTAGCTCTTCTTCTTGATACAGTTGTATGAAGCTGGAGAAGTTACCTTTTTGAGCCTGTTTTCTTGTTTGTAAAATGGAAAATAATTCGCACTTCAAAGGCAGGTTGCAAAGGACGATAAAAACTACTCCACGTAAGGTGTTCAGCACAGTGCCCAGAACCTGATACATACCCTATAGTTAAATGCTGTGGGGTTTTTTGGTTAATAACCCTGACCTTGCACGTTTGTCAGTTCCATTCTCCCTACTTTGGTACCTTTTCCCCAGCTGCCCCCTTCCACCATATCCATGCCTGGGTTTTCTCCGCTTAGTTCACATTCTGTCTCTTCCCTGGCTGCGCCATCTTGACATCACTCTTCACTAACAAACTGCATGGCCCATGGAGTACTTAGTAGTTACTGCTTGTATGGCATACCTATTTTGCAATCCACATCTTGGCTTCCTAACTAACCTACATGCTACTTGAAGCCAGGATCATTGTCTTAGACTTCTTTATACTGTACTCAACATGGTGGTCAATACATAGTCAAAATAAAGACCATAAAACAGGATGTTTTGACTTCACCTCCATAACCCATGCGTTTTTCCCGAATGTTCTTTGCTTTTTGCTCCAAGAAATAAATACAGACTTGTATTTTTTCCAATTCATTCTGAATATTACTGGTAGAACTAATCTATACAAAATGAATTTAACAGAAATGGAGTAGACTTACTTTTTCTTTTTTTTCCCTTAAGTACAACCAAAAGCCCTCAACATCATATATAAAACAAACGTGAGAACACTGAAAGGTGGAGAGATGACAGACCAGCTAGGGACCTCAGGACCCAAGGAGCCACACAGTGGTAAATTTCCTGGGCTTTTTTTTTTTTTTTTTTTTTTGCCTCATATATCCCAGACCAGGAGCCAAAAAAAGGAATAACCCCAAGACACCAAGTGCAGACAAAAAAGCCCCAACACAAATCAGCTCTTTCCAGTCAAAGGACCAACAAAGGGCAGTCTAACAAGAAAAATAATTCAGACAATAACCACTTTACTCCAACAAACTCCACCCTTACCCATGCCAGCGAAGACTGAGGGAGGAACCTAGACTTTTACCCTCACAAACTGAAACAAGGAGCTCCCTCTTCCTGCCCTAGCAATGCCAGCAGAGACCACAGGGGAGCCCAGACTTTCAACCACTGCCTCCTCAGGCATCTCTCCCCACCTCCACACTAGATGGTGTCAAAGGAAGATGAGTGGAATTAGGACTTCTATCAGCATCCAGCAGGAACAAGGTTGAATACCCCTTTTTTGGCCCCCAACCCCTGCCACCCTGTAAAGTCCACATAGGAAGAAGTAATGAGGTATTCCTACACCTCCCAGCCAGGGAGGTATCAGTAGAGGCCTGAAGGGAAGCCAGGACTCCCACTCCCACCAGCAGTAATAAAAGTGCACACACACACACCTCAGGTGACAATGGAAGTTGAGTAGGGGCCTGGATTTCTGTCCCCAGCTGGTAGCAATAAGGCAGTGGCCCCCTTTCTCTTCTGGAGTGGTGTCAAAGGAAGCCAGATAAAACAGAAGGTTTAAATAAGTCCTAGTCTTATAATACTCAAAATGTCTAGGTTTCAACTGAGAATCACACTTTATACCAAGAACCAAGGATATCTCAAACTGAATGAAAAGATAATCAATAGATGCCAACATGAGAACAAATGTTAGATTTACTTAAAAATAATTTAAAGCCACCATAATAAAAATGTCTCAACGAGCAATTGTGAACACATTGAAACAAACAAAAAAGAAAATTTCTGGAAATAGATAGAAAGTCTCAGCAAATAAAAAAGAAGTATAAACAAGAACAAAATGAAAATTTTAGAACTGGCAAATACAATAACAAAAATGAAAAGCTCAGTGGATGGACTCAACAACTGAATAAAGGAAAAAAGGAGAGAATCCATGAACTGGAAGACAGAACAATAAAAGTTATCCAAACAGAGAAACAAAATTTATTGGGGAAAATAATGAGTAGAATCTTATGGGCCTATGTGACTATAACAAAAGATCTAACATTCATGGTATGGGAATCCAGGAGAAAGGTACAATAAGGAGAAGACTGGAAAAGTACTCAAGGAACAATGGCTGAAAACTTTTCAAATGTGATAAAGTATGAAACTCTAAAAGGATAAACCCATAGATATCCATAAGATACAACATAAACTTCTAAAACTAAAGACAAAGAAATTATTGATCAAGAGAGTGAGAAAATAAGCCATAAACTGAGAGAATATTTGCAAAAGAGTGATTATATTAAAATTAAATAAAGTATACTTCAAAGCAAAGAAAATTACCAGAAACAGAGAGGAACATTATAAATGTATAATAGGGTCAATCCACCAAGAAGACACAGCAATTCTAGACACGTATCAAACAACAGAGCTACAAAACATGTGAAGCAAAAACTAATAGAACTGTACCTGGGCATGCTGGCATGTGCCTGTGGTTCCAGCTACTCAGGAGGCTGACGTGGGAGGATCACTTGAGTCTGAGAGGCAGAGATTGCAAAATGAGGCAAGATCATACCACTGCAATCCAGCCTGGGTGGCAGAGTGAGACCCCATCTCAAAAACAATTAAATCAATAAAAGAAAAAATAACTAATAGAACTGGAAATACAAATAGATAAGTCCATAATTATAGCTGAAGATTTCGATAAGCAGAAAATCAGCAAAGATGCAGAAGAATACAAAACCACTATCAACTAACAAGATCTAATCAACATTTACAGAAGACTCAAACAACAGTAGAATATGCATTTTTTTCCCAGGCCATGGAGCATATACAAAGATAGAACGTATCCTGGGACATGAAACAAGCTCAACACATTTTTAAAAACTGAAATCATACAAAATGTGTTCTCCAATCACAATAGAATCAAAATTATAAATAAATAACAAAAGAAGAAAACATCTAGTGCTTGGAAATTAAACACTTCTAAATAATCCACAAATCAAACTGGAAGTCTCAAGGAAAATAAAAAATTCACATTGAACCGAATGAAAAATAAAATGTCAAATTCGTGAGACACAACTAAAGCAGTGTTGTGAGGGAAATTTATAGCATTAAGTGCATACTTTAGAAAAGAGGAAAAGTCTCAAAGCATTCTTCTAGGCTTCCACTTAAGAACCTTGAGCAAAATAAACCCAAGGCAAGCAGAAGAAAGAAAATAATAAAGAGCAGAAAACAAAGCAAAAATAAAAAACAATAGAGAAAACTGGTGAAACAAAAATCTGGTTCTTTGAAAAGTTCA